GTAAAGACATAAAAATTATATTTAGGAAGAATATGATAGGTATGGATTCTTATGGGATTTGAGATGCAGAGAGAAGAAAAGCGATATACTTTTAAGGAGAAATTTGGAAGAACAATAAGACAGAAAATGAAGGTAAGACAGAAAAATAAGGTGTGTTTATGGTGCAGAAAATTGCAGGTGAGCAACAGAAGAGAAGTTTGGAAAGGTAGGTTGTGGTCAAACCACAGAGGACCATGAGGCTAAGCCACGAAGGTACATTGAAGGTTTCTGAACGGGTAGGTGTTATGATCTTCCCTGTTTAGTATAAATGGACAGGAGAATGAAGGATATGGTTGTCAAGGGACAAGAGAGGAGACACCTGGACTTGCACGGAGATTAGGGCAATTGTATGGGCAAGGCACAGACTCAAACGAGGCCAGAATGAGGGTAGTAACCAAGACTGAACAAGTAAAGGACGGGAGGGGAGTGGATTCCAGCACCTGAATAGACATGGACTGAGGCAGAAGAGACACCTAGGATGTTTCAACTCTGTGAACTGCAGGACTAAAAATGAAACTAGGAAGACAGGATGAGACAAAGTTGGAGATGGTGGTCAAGGTTAAGATTCTTTTTTTTTTTTTTCCCTTGTGAACCTGTAAAACAGGTGTTGACAAGCCATCCCAGGGAATGACTGATAAGTCATGGAATAAGTTATGGAAAGTCAGGTCAGGGTTTAGCCTAGAAATGTAGTATGCTGAGACATCTAGGGATAGATGTCTTCAATGATAGTTGAAGGCACAAAGGAATGCTGTGTTACTTCTCACTAATTTTGGCTTCTCCTTCCTGGAGGAGATTATTCTTCCCTGCCCATGATAATCAATCTTGATCATGAGATTTGACAAAGTAAAGTGAGAAGAATATTGTATGTCTCTCCCACTAAGAAGCTTTGAGAGCCTATTGATTCACAATCTTTTTTCTCCCCCTACTATAGACTTGGCAATGCCCAACTAGTGACTCCTTCATTAGCTTAGCCTAAAGTTAAATTAATCTGGAAACAACAACAACAACAACAAAACACACAGCTAATATGTAGTGTGAGTGAGAAATAATTAGTTGTAAAAGCCGCTAGGATTTGGAGGTTGGTTATGACTGCAGTATAAACTAACCTAACTTAACTCATAGACCATGGGAATGAACAAGATTACCCAAAATGGAAAACTAAGGAAAGAGCAGAAGATGACCAAGCCTGGGAATTAATTCTACGTTTGTGAATTTGTCATTTCACAGGAAGAAGAATGAACTACATTTGCTAAGTTACTTTGGGAATACTTCTTAATTTTTCTCATTACTTTTTCTGTATTAAAAAACCTGACATTAAAAAAGAAAAAACTTGCTAGATGAGACATAATCATTTTGGCCACATTTGGAAAAGTGTGTTCTTTGAATTATCTCTAATGATTAGCAACCATTCTTATGTACCAACAATTTTAAGTGTTCGATATATTTTTAAACATATTATTTTTGTCTGGAAATTTTTCTTTGTGTTAATTCACTAACCTAACACTCTTCATTAGATTATGAGAAATAAAATTATGCTTTAATGTTAGGGAGTCTCATCTTGCCTAGAGGTAGGGGAAGTAGGCTTTCTGTGAGCAGTTGGTGGTTGATAACTGAATATTATCTTTTGCTCACCATGCCAGCAGGCAGACTGACATAAGCTATGACAAAAAAAAAAAAAAAAATCCCAAAATTATAGTTCGTGAATAAGAACTTACCCCACAGGTCATGTAGACATATTTGTTACCCTAAGGCACCAGTTAAAACCCATAATATATGATTTAGGAATTTAAGAGAAATTGTCTGTCAAAATTATTTTTATCGAGCAGCTCTGCACTGAAACTTTGCTTATTATGACTATTCTACTTGTATTTTAGAGAATCCCAGGAAAACCTCCAAATCAATGTTTTAATTAAAGTCCACACCATTTCTTATCTTTTTCACTATTGTTGTCCACCCTCATTTAAGGTGCTCATCTATCAAATCATTGTATACTTTGCATTTTTAAATGCAATTAGTTTTTTTATACAGCTGGATTATTTTTATTAAAATGATTTTGTAAAATTAGTAAAATGTGATTTTATGCATCTATATCTTCTTTGTATGGATAAGCCCACAAAACACAAAACAACCCTGCATATTAAGCAGTAGGGTTAAATTTTTTAATTCTTAAAAAATACATGATCTTTGATTCTAGAGTCTCATCTCTCTCTCCTTCTGCCTCCAAGTATTTGATTATTCTAGGAAACTGGCTCAGAGACCCATCTTGTTTTCAGGGTTGTATTTCTTCCTAATCAATATGAAGGAGCAGACAGTAATAAAGGACAAGTAATAGTTTTAAGAAAACTCAAATTTTTCAGCATAGGTGCAACTAACTTATATTGCAATACAAATGGTAAGAAGGCTATAAAATGACGGGAGCTGTCTTGAGCTACCTCCCATAGGTAGATTTGTTGAAATTTAAGGACAGAATTCAGCGTGAAACATCTGATAAGTGTGCTGAAATTATTAGTCTTTCAACCTATGTGACTTTTTTCCTGGGTATAAGTTCCCATGAATTAGGAAGGCAAGGTAATTCTGACGCTCATAACTTTCTTCCTTTAGCTTCAGGATATTTGTACAAACTTTACAGACTTTGCTACCCTTTCTGTCCTTCTGAAATTTTCTTAGCTTCATCTTGAAAGGGTCCTTCACCATTTCAACACCATTCCAACCGTTAGGTAAGTGCTGACCTCTCTGGTGGGAGTCTATTTTTTTTTTTTTTTAGATGTATGTTCTCTCCATGGCCCAATCCAAAACCTGTTTCCATTTAACTTCTAAAAGGACAGGAGCTTGATGACTGCCAACCTTTCCATTTCAGTGTCTAAGACTGAGGGATGGAGTTATGTATTCATAAATTCATAACTTATTTATTATTCTTGTTTCCTAGAATAGTTAAATACTTGGAGGCAGAGGGAGAGAAAGATAAGACTCTAGAATCACAGATCATGTATTTTTTTAACAATAAAAATTTAACCCTATTGCATAATATGCAAGGTTGTTTTGTGATTCATGGACTTATCCACACATAAAAGACATAGACGCATTAAATCACATTTTACTAATTTTACAAAATCATTCTTAATAAAAATAATCCAGAGACAATATACATGGGAGCCTTTCCTAACCCAAGTTAGCAGTACAAATATATTTTTATGTACAAATATATTTTTAAATGAAGAGAATCCTCGATTTAACAGTTTTTTTTTTTTTTCATTTTAAAGAGGAGTCAAGGGAAAAAAAGGGAGGGGAGACAAGGTAACCCAAATAGCAACTGATAAAAATAGCTAAGAACAGAGAAGACTGGGACAAGCAAAAACTTTACATTAAATCCCATCTCTTTATATCAAACTAATTTCTTTTGCCCTTCCTACTTCCTATCTCTTTGCAAAAAAAAAAAAAAAATTCTTTATGGCAATACAACTTTAGGGATACCAATTTGTACCCTGATATCTAGGAGCAGAAATTACACTCACCTGCTTCATTACTCTTCATTCCCCTACAGCCCCCAAAATAAGGCAGTGAATTTTCAGTTAATAGAGAAAAGATTAATGCTTTCTTGATATGGTTTTACATCTGAATGAGTAAGATGGCATAATCCAGCTCTTGCTCTGGATACCAAAGAAATGAACATGAAAAGAGCTTTTTTTCCCCCCATTAGTATGTTGTGACAGAAAACTGGATGAATCAGAGAACCAAAGGAGTGAGAGAAAATGCAGCCATTCAACAGATGTTTTACTCAGTACCTACACCAGGCTAGACCAGGTTCCAGGGTACAGAGATGACAGGGGCACTCAGCCTCAGAGAGTACAAGGGGTTCTCAGGGAGTAGGGGGCACAATGCGTCTACCAATAATACTTAGGTAAAGGACATGACATGTGTCATGGGAACTCAGAGCAAACATCATTATCCCTTACAGATTCACAGAGGAGCACACATCTCTCCAGAACCTTTGAGGAGCGTCTATGTGTCTAATCGATGCCACCGTGTGTAATAAAGTTGCTTTAATCTGGTCTGTTTGTTCACTGTAGCATTTTACATTTTCATCAGTTACGGCTGGAAGATTCTCTTCTAGTTAAGATATTACTATTGATGATGACACAAATGCTTCTTGACCATCGTCCTTTGTAGGGATTAGAAAACAACCGACAGGTACCAGCCATTGTGTTCTATAAATTGATGTATTATTGATACATCTATGAATCACACAGAACTTCTTTTTATGTAAATATTGAGGACCAGCGGTCTTATATTTAAAAATGTCAGCTTAGGGAAACCCCACTGGCTTCTCCCGCCATGAATAAATTGGTTGCTTGCAGGAACTATCCCAAGAGGCCATTCAGAGGCCATTATTTCCCTGTGAAGACTCTGTTAAAAAGAATAATTGGTATCAATAACACTTACCTGGGTATGCAGAGGAAAGGTTACCCAGCCATAACAGGCCCAGAATCACACAGCCACTACTTAAAACAATGCAGTGTTTGGGATTTATGAGAATAAGTCCTGTCAGTAATAATGCCCTTATCGGGCCTTCTCGACTCATTTGGCATACGTTGCAGTGTACTCACAGTTAAATCAAATCTGTCACGCGGTTATAGGCTAAGGTGCTGCATACAAGACAGAAACGATACATAGTGAAAAGGTTTGCTTCTCAGAAACATGGCTTCAAGTGCCTTTATGCTTTCGTGTCCCCCTAAAGCAGCCCCAGGACCATTTCGAATGTAAAATCTGCAATATAACTAGTGATTATTTTAATCAATTGCTTAAGGGTATTGGAAAAAGGAGGGGAAACAATTACCATTACGCAGAAAGATGGATCAAGCATGAATCAATGTGGCAGGAACAGAAGGAAACAGACATGGGGCTAGACAAGGGAAGGGACCCCCAAACAACGATGATGACAACAACAAAGATCATCGCTTAACCTGTTTTGTCAGAGCTGGTATTGATGGTATTGGTAGTGATGGAGGTGAAGGTAGTCTTTGCGCTGTCCTTGGCAGTTACAGATTTCTGCTTATTTTTCATGGCTTCCAGTGCTTTGAGCTTCTTGGCATGTTTCGTGCCTTTGTAGTGGGCCGCAGCCTGGCTCTACAAAGGAGAACAAAATGAACCATGCAATCAGGCTCATTTCTAAACTGGCATTCTCTGTATTACTGCAAATACAGACTCCCTTTCAATAATAGGTACCATTCAAGCTAATTCTGGCGGTGGCCGAACAGTAGGGTGCTATTTAGAATGATGCTAGAAAGCAACGGGAATCACGTTCTGAAACCTCTGGACCGAAGGAAGAAATATTCTATTGTTTGTCTTAAGAGAATGTAGCTGAACACTAACGCGTTGACAACGTTTTCTTGGTGGAGTGGGAAAAAAAAAGGTAAGAATCTATACTCATATTGCTTTTGTTTTGCTACAGAAGATGATGGGCTCCTGAAGATTAACAAGGGCCCCACAAAAAAGAGTAGCTCTCACCTTCTTGGCTCGGGAAATGTGTTTTCTCTTTCTACAGTGTGTCTTATTAATACGATCTCCAACAGGTGTCTACAAGGAAAAGTTCACATATAATAAGGGAAGCGGACACCCCAGAGACTAAGACTGAAGCTCGAGAGTTCAAAAGAAAATGCACTGCTTAAGTCCAGATGAAGCACACAGAAGTTGGGCAATTTCCTGATTCTTTCTTTCTCCTTGCTTCCTACAGAGGTAGCCTGAGAAATTCAAGGGAGTGGAATTCCTTAAACATGTGGGTCTTTCACGCTCTAGCCCATTGTCAGGAGGCTCCAGTGTGTTTTGACTATTTAATGGGGCCAATACACTAATACTATTCTTTTATCCGTGATTTCCGGGATTTTCTTTTCAACAGCAGTATGCATTTTCCCAAGTTTATATTTTCTTAACACTATTTTGTTGTTATTACTAGAGACACATATAATTGAGATAGAAAATCATTTTAAAGAACTCTATGTTTATTGGTGTTTATTGGAAAAAAGGAAGACTTGGTGGCTTGGGGTGGGATGGGAGAGGGCAGGGAGATTCTTAGATCAGATTCTTAGATCAGCTCAAAACCCTTAAAAAGTCTCCTCACAAAGAAGAAATCTCAGTGGAGGACTGTATCGGTTAGACTACCTACCACTTCCCACGACTTATTTAAACTCCATGTTCCACTCCATGTTCTGGCTCCATTTTGCCAGAAAAAAAAAAAAAAATAACCACACTCTCCTCTTTGTCACAGCAACTGTGGTAGGGAGGGTTACAGTAAAATATCTTTTTATAAATAGATAAATAAATAATCCACACCTTCATTTGCATCATTCTGACAAGTGTTCTCAAAGGACTAGGTACCGTTATTGAAAGAATACTGGACATGGAAATTATATTAGAAACAGTTTGAACAGAGAAGACACTCATGCATCAGTTACAAGTTTTCCAACAACACGTAACATCAAAAGACATAGTATGCGCCAAAATGTGAAGTTAAGACTTGCTATAGTTAATTGAAGAACCAGTGATAGATTGGATTGTGTTGATTCTACATAAAGAATGCCACTTTGATGGACAGAGTTGCATCCCCCTTTTTTTCTGCCTAGTTCTCCTTTTTAATAAATCAAGTCCTTTGGCCATATCTTTTAAGGGCAATATGCTATATTCAATTAAATCCACAATATAAACAGTCATCTTCTCTAGGCAGCTGGCTACATACTTCCCTTAAAGTGAAGTTCTCCTCTTCTGTCAGCATTCCTACCCTTGACATAAAAGTGATGTTTTGTATAAAATACATTTTAAAAGAGAAGATTTAGATTAACAGTGCTATCTCTATTTCACCACCAAAATACACATTTTAGGGTTCCTAACAAATCTTCATTCTCAGTAGGATTTCAAATCAGACAAGATTTTGTTTTAACACACCATAGGACCAGGTGAATCTCGCTATTTTGGATATTGAGAAATTTACTCCAAAAAACAAACAAATAAACAAACAAAAACCCCAAAAAGCAAAAAACACTCTGCAAGTGAAGAAAATACTTACACCCCCAAAATATTTTCTGCACAGGTACAGCTAACCCAATGCTTCCAACTCAGGCTCAGTGAAATGAGCTGACTCATTTCAGTGAAATGGCTCAGGAAGTCATGAGGAAAAGAGGGTGACAGAATGAGCAATAGTTGGTGGGCTCCCAAGTGAGACACCTGATCCATTAAAAAACATGATAAAAAATGCTTACTCACTTGTTAATTGAAGAATAGTCCCAAAGCATCTTGATAATAATCATTATTTTAATTAAAAATCATCTGACTAAAAAAAAAAAAAAAAAAAGGTAACTAAGCCTTCCTTAAATTTGAAAAATAAATGAAGATCCAAAGTGCTACAGAGAGATCTGGATGTGTAAAATTTGGGGAAATATAAAGTAAAGAGGGGTTGACAGCCCTGGAGGTGATTACGATGATGTAGGGCATACAGGATGTGGGCATACAAGTTGGAAATTGAATGTAAACAGATAGCCCTTCCTGGATATTTCACATTTCCTTTGTCATAGACTTTCACTGAATGCTTGTAGAATTTATTGGACAGCTCTTGGGTTTTCCTGGTTTAGATTTTTCTAGTCTATGCATATTGACCCCATAACTTTTGATCCATCTTGATACAGGTGGGCTGTATGAAGGTGTGTTTCTTGCGTGAAGGAAGTACACCCAGTGAGCTCTCTTTATCCCTTTTGACCACTTCCTGGATTGAATAAATTATTCAGCGCCATCTAATATTTCTGAGATTTTAGCTGGAGTCCTGCTGGGAGATTTTGAAAAAACAGCAGTTGGCCAGAGATGTTTCTTTGGACCTCAGCTGCTTTTCCCTTGGGCAGAGAGGCACTGGATGCCCCATACCACCCTATATTCCCCCCAGGGTTGTTTCCTATTATTAGCCAGTTTCTGAATCAAGTCATTCCTGGAAACGTGGAAACCATCAGACACGAGCAAACCATTATTTTTCACAAGAATAGTTTCAAGGTTAAATAAATGTACTACTTCATTATGGCACATTTCAGCATTCCATATTTTAAAACCGAAACAGAATCAGGTGATCATAGTACACACAGACGTGAGCAGAACAATAGAAACCAGGCTTTGATAGCTTCCTTTTAAATAATGAGTGTGATATTAGGGTACTGTATAATAAACATCACTATTACCGACCTTGAAATAGCATATGACAGCATGAAATCTAACAAGTGTCATCCCAGAGGCAAGTGCTGACATTAAAGATATGCGCACACATTCCTGTAGAATAGAATGATGCCACTTTAAATGTCATCACCACATCCTAGTTATCAGGATCCAGTCAGACTTTCTCATCTTCAAATTTCATCTTTAGCATTTCAAAATGGCTTCAAGTTTAAATGCAACTGAAGTCCCAAAGCAGACAAAAGTAATTGTTACATGGCCCACAGTGAGAGAGGAGTCTCATTCTTTTAAACACACACACACACACACACACACACACACACACATTTGTTTTACTTATCTAAGTAAGAGGCCAATTGCTAAATCACTTTTATCTTATGAAGCTCACTGAAAATTTGGGGAAAGACACCCCATCTATCATTTTATCTCATTAGCACCAACACATTGTATGTTTTTACTCTACCTCTCTTTAATATGAGGTGTCTTAATATGATTTTTAAAAACTAAGTTTATTGTTAGCACACGCATCTAGTTCCCATAACCAATTAGTCTTCATGAACACATGTGATCTCAAAAGGAACATGGTAGCCTTTGTTAGCTTGTGATATCATGTAATTTTACCATATATGAAAATGCATTAAAACTAAATGAACATTATCATATTAAAAGGCAACATCAGAAAAAGAAAGAGTAGTTACTAGACAAGTTGTAATCCTTTTTGAGGAGGGGAGGGATAATACTTAAGTCAGAGGAATTCTTTCTCCCTTCCTCCTTTCTTTGTTTGTTTGTTTGTTTGTTTCTTTCTTTCTTTCCTTCTTTCTGGAAATTATCAGATATTTTTAATTCTAGCTTAAATTGTTGTTTTGGAGATAAAGAAGAAAATGATAAAACATGATATAGTATCCTAAACTCTAAAACACTTACTTTAGATTTACATTTTAGGAATTATTAAAAATTACTTCAGGAAAAAGTTCAACATTTTGATTCATCCATGTACAGTTTTACGTGTTATATATACTCTCTCAAGTTTAATACTGAGGCAGTGTTTACAGACTCAGCCCTATAGGTTAGGACAAGTGTGCATTTTATGTTGGTCAGCAGCTTATTAAATATTCTGAATATTACTTTTGCAAATGCCAATAGGAGATTTCTATTCTATTCTTATTCTATCTTATTGTTATTCTATCCTTATTGTATCTTAATTCTTTTATTATCAACTCTCAGCTTCATTGTCATTGATATAAAGAATTAGTTCTCAAAGTGTGGTCCTCAGACTAGTAGTAGCAGCAACAGCTGAGATCTTTCTAGAAATGCAGATTCTCACCCTCCATCTGATCCATTCTGAATCAGAAACAATGGAGCTGGGGGCTTAGCAAAGTGGGTTTTACAACTTCTCCAGGTCCTTGTAGCCCATACTAAACTTTCAGAACCATGCATCTTAAATGTGCTAGAGCATTTCCTTCAAAGATGGCCCCTTCTTTAATAAATAACCAAAGTTTAGATTTTTTAAAAATATTTATTTATTTAATTTTACAGGGATGGGGAAGGACAGAGGGAAAGAATCTCAGGTAGACTCCGCACTGAGTGTGGAGTCCAAGGAAGACACAGGGCTCAATCTCAGGACCCTGAGATCTGACCTGAGCTGAAGTCAACTGAGCCACCCAGGCATCCCTCAAAGTCTAGATTTTTAAAGATTAATATCGAATCATTTAACATTTATTAATGTGAACAATGGGTATCACCCAAGAAAAACCAAAAGTTCCTTTCCTTAAAAACAAGTCATAGTAAGAAATAAAAAATAACTGACACACAGGTAGTTGGGGAACTTCTATCAAAGAGGGATGGATGCAAAAGAGCAAATCAACCTTAGTAACCTTCAAGCAATTCTAAAACCCCATAGAAGTGCTTCCCAAGTCCTTGAA